GCGGCTTCCGCTCGTTTCGCGTCGCTCCCGGCGCGGTCCCCGCGTCGCGGCCGAGCAACAGGTGCGCGGGGCCCCGCCGCTCCGCCCGCCCCGCCCCGCGCTCCCCCCGGTGTCCCGGCGGGCGTTGGGGCTGTGAAGGCCGAGGCCTCGGCGCGGCGCTTCCCGAGGGTTCCCCGCCGCGGGGCTCGGGCCGTTCCGCGCCTCCCGCACTGAGCCCTCCCGTCACCGCGGCGGTGGCAGCTGCGGGGTCACGGGGGTCCCGCGGGAGGGGCGGTGGCGTTGCTCTGATCCCGGTCAACGAGGGAAAGTGCGGGCCGTTTGATTTCCGGGAGGGCTGCGTGAGGCCATTTGTGCACGCGTAGGAAAAAACCACGAATAAACGGAGCGGGGATCCCGCACCGGGGGGGGGAGGAGAGCTCCGCGCCCGGCCCTGCCCCGCGCCCCGGCGACGTCACCGTGTTTACAGTGCGCGCGTGGCGCGGCGCCGCGCTGGGAAACGGGCAGCGATCGGGGAACCGGGAAAGGAAGGGCCCTGTGCGGTGCGCTCCGTGTTGGGGGGGAATTGGCTGCGGCCGTGCTGAGCTCAGTGCTTTTGAACGCCGGGGAAATGTGTTGAGGCGGCATTTTCTTCGCTGCAGTCATCGCGTTTGGCACTTTTCAGTGCGATCTTTCTTCGGGAACCTCTGAAAAGCAGAGAAATCAGCGGTCTGCAGAGCCGGGCTGTGTCTGGGCTCAGCGTCCTCCGGGTCTGCTGCCTTCCCATCACCCTCATGTTGCCAGTGTTGCTGTGCTGGGTCTCTGGTAGGGAATGGGGGGGTCCAAACTGGTGCTGCTTTCAGGCACAGCCCCGTCTCAGAGCCGCTCCCAGAACACAGCACACACTGCCCGGTTCCTCGGGTACAGACGCTGCAGCCCTCATGTCCAACAGAAGTGATGTTGTGATTCAGGTGGGGGGAGCGTTCTCCTGACCCCATCGCAGCTCTCTGGGTCCCTGCACTCATCCCAGCCACGTCCCTCCACCAGGTCCTTCACATTTCTATGTCCTTTTGTGTCTGTATCTGTGGGTTTATGTATTTTTCTTAGCAGAAAAGACGGTGTGAGGTACAGAGTGAGCATGGACTCTGAGGTCAGGGCTGTATGAGCTCCCTGCCCTGCTCTGCCCCCCGTGCCCAGCCTGATGCAGTGTTTATTTCTTTACATCTGCTGCAATGAAGGAAGTTGTAGTATTTCTAGTGGTAGGGAACCATCTAGCCCTGTGGGGCACAAATTTCTGCAGCCATACAGACCCCAGTGTGCAGTCAGAGGATTCTGCAGGGCCAGTGTTATGCCTCTCCCCAGTTATTCTCTTCCTTCTGCCCCTTTTTCCAGCGGCCATTTTGTTTGATGGGGTGTGAGGGGGGGGTGCAGGAAACAAGAAAGAAAGAGAAAGAACGGCATGAGAAAGGGCAGAACTGATTTTAGGAGGCAGCAGTCTGCGTGTGCTCCCCCCACTGCAGCCACCTCCCTTGGTGGCAAAGTGACCCTTATGGCGCTGTCAGGTTGTCACGGACATCGTGCTGCAAGGAACATTGTCCTCTGGGTATAAATAGCCACCTCCTGGCAGGCTCCGGCCTTGGGAACATCTGAATTGTGCTCCTCTGCTCCGTGTCCTGCACAGCACTGATCCTGCTCACCTCTAGCAGTCAGCACCGGGCGCATTGCAGGAGCCTGAGCTGCAGCTGCTGGAGGAGCAAAAATCCGTATTTGCTGACTGTACAGCTGGGTCTTGGCTGCAACTCTGCCTCTTACGTCTAGCAAACAAAAGAGCAGCGAACAGAATTGCTGTTGGCTGGCACAGAAGGTACAAAGGTGCTTGCAGACTGCACCTGCATGGAGGCAGTGCCGGGCTGTGTGGGATGGACGTGGCTGTTGAGGATTCAGTTTGTTGGGGTGCAGTGACATTCTGACCTGAGGTGCACAGGGGCAGGAGCCCTGCTTTGCCTCTGTATGGAGACAGCCCCAGGAGCTGCTGTTATCAATCTGGAATGCTGTCCTCCCTGGCAGTGGAGGAGTCTGCTCCCCTCCAGTTTCAGCCTCCCTTGATCTTTGTTTTCTTATCTCTCAGCTTTGAAGATAAGGAAGGGAGAAGGTGGTGCTGTCCTGGCTTTGCTGGGGCTGATAGGGACTGCCTCAATGGGAAATGTGTATGGCTGCAGGTCGGCTTTGGGTGACAGGAGCAGGGAGGGCTCTTGAGGTTTTTGTTAGATCAGTAATGGGATTTCTGTGAGCCCCAGCACTGAGCCGTAGGTTTGTGCTGCCCGTCCTCCCCACAGGAAGAGTTGGATGCAGAACTCAGACTGTAACCCAGCTGTTCCGGCTTTGCTGGGGAGCACCCACAGTTTGGAGAGGAATGAGCGTGGCAGCTGTGTTCAGCACCTCACAAGTGCCCCGTGCAGGTGAAGCTGTCCCTTCCACTCACTGCCGGTGATGTGCTCCTGGACCGTGCCAGGCTGCGTCCTTGGGAGCATCATGGGTCTGGCAGGACTCGCTCTGGGCAGCTCTGGCTGTGCTGGGCAGCGGGTGTTGGGGCTGTGCTGTGCTCAGGGGCTGTGAGGATGCAGCTGGGAGCAGAGGCGCGGGCTGCCGGTGTGCTGAGTCAGCGTGACTGGCCCTGAGCAGGCGTGCTCCGGACCTGGCTGCTGCTGCCAGGCTATTTTTAAAAATGTGGCTTCCGTGTATTCTGGCTCCTCCTAGTTTTTTAATTCCCCCCCCTCCCCGCCCCAAACAAAAAACAGCATTGCTACAAGTCTCCGTGGTTGTAGGGCTGTGGAAGGGCAGCAGTTCCTGCTTAGGGGCGGAATCTGTTGCCACGCTGTGAGTCCGATGCAGTCAGGCTGAGCGCTGCCTGGGGAGGGCAGTGGGGTTGTCCCAGCACGGGGTGCTGCTGCGGGGCTCCGTGCAGCGGCTTTGGCTCTGCTGAGAGCTAACCCAGGAACTAACCTGACCTCCATCCCTTCCAGAGCCTGACTGACGTGGCTGCCGTGTTATGACGACCCCCAACAAAGGAAACAAGGCCTTGAAGGTAAAGCAGCAGGTGGAGGACGGGGGGTGCGGGCGGCTGCTCGAGGCTTCAGACTGCACACCGCCTTCTCTCCTCACAGGTGAAGCGGGAGCCAGGCGAGAATGGGACCAGCCTGACAGATGAGGAGCTGGTGACCATGTCTGTGCGGGAGCTGAACCAGCATCTGCGGGGCCTGTCCAAGGAGGAGATCATCCAGCTGAAGCAGCGCCGGCGCACGCTGAAGAACCGAGGCTACGCGGCCAGCTGCAGGGTCAAGCGCGTTACCCAGAAGGAGGAACTGGAGAAGCAGAAGGCAGAGCTGCAGCAGGAGGTGGAGAAGCTGGCCTCTGAGAATGCCAGCATGAAAATGGAACTCGATGCTCTCCGCTCCAAATATGAGGCACTCCAGAACTTCGCCAGAACCGTGGCCCGGAGCCCTGTCACCCCCGTGCGGGGCCCTCTCACCTCCAGCATGGGGCCCCTCGTCCCTGGCAAGGTCGCTACCACTAGTGTCATCACAATAGTGAAATCCAAAACGGACGCCCGGTCTTAGTGAAGCGAGTGTTGCCTGAGCTTGTCTGTGCAGGGCAATTAGGCACAAAACCAGCCTGGAATCCCCAAAGCACAAACCCTCCCCACACGGGTCAGGGTTCCTTCTACTTGGCCCAGGACTGGCCTGCTGATCGCTCTGGTTTTGTTTTGTTGTGTTCAGATTGGTATGAGCAGTGGTGATGCATCCCTTGTCCTGTGCAGACAGCACCTCCCACCCAGCGGTCTGTAGCCCTCAGCTGCCCTTGGGACAGGCTTGTAAGATCTTGGTGTTCTGGCCAAAGGAAGTCTGCGCTGCGCGGCGAGAGGCCCGGAGGGAGGCTTTCTTCCTGGAACCCCAGTTTTCAGTCACTTCCAAAGGCTTTCTTTCATTACTCTTCCAGGTGGTGTATCCAGGTGCCTGACTGCCCGGCACCTGAGCCTGCTGCTTTTGTCTCATCCGGTACCTGTAGTTGCAGCTGGGGTGTTCTGTGTAATAGATGTGGTATTCATTTCTAGGTGCGCCTCTGTGCCCAAGCAGTGAGTTTCCTTCAGGCTTCCATTGCAGTAGAGTGCGGATAGCGGCGGTGGATGGGAAGATGCTGGTGTGCCCCACTGCCTCTGCCCCAGCTGAGGGGAGGGGGATGGGATGGGGTCTGGGAGGGGGGGAGGGAGGTACGTTGCTGACTGCAGGCCGGTTTTGTGCCTAATGTGTTGCACTGAACAAGACCAAAATCACTAGTTGTTCCCGTGTTTTGAGGGTATCAAGTGTCTCTAGTGTGATGGTTTACACGACCAGTTTATGTGGTTAAATAGCCCTTTTATTTAAAGAGAAACATCGTTTTAAGAGTTATTAAATTATCTAAGTTTAAAATGAAAATCAGACAGAAGAGAGAGCGTATTTATAGTCAGCTTTTTTTATCCGAGAGGGCGAGAATATTTGGCCATAGAAATGGGGAAATATTCTCGGAGACTTTGCTAGTTAGAAGTTAATAAATAAATAATTTTAAAGTTTCTCATGAACCTCCCGCAAACTGTTTGTGGCTCCGAGGTTAGTTTTTATAAAGAGTTATCAGACTTTATTTATAAAACTTAGAAAAAGAAAAAAAAAAAAAAAAAGAAAAAAAAAAGAAAAAAAAAAAAAGAGGCAAATCCTGTTTGATATCTTTTTGCAATTGTACCAAAAGTGACTTATTCTCGATCTTGCTGGCTCCGTTGTGTCCCCTCGTGTTGCGCTCTCTGTGCTCTCCGAGGCGCTGTGCTGTGGTGCTGTCAGTGGCTGCCTTTGCCATGTGCTGTCGTTCTCATGCTTCTGTTTTCCCTGAGCTCGAGCGAGAGGTTCGCTTGCAATCTCTCCGAATTCTCCAGGAGGATTCTGGCACACAGGCAAAGATGCTGTTTTTCTGAGAGGTGGAAATGAACGGCTGATGCCGCTGAGGGGTGATGCGTGCCCTGAAAACGCTGCTCTGCAGGGGGGCTTGGTGGGACGCCTGCTTCTCTCTCTGGGTGTTGCAGCTGTCGCTTCTGCGCAAGCAGCTCAGGCCTCTCGCTGCCCAGCCAGTGCTGACCCCGGAGTTACCTGCATGGGGGATGCGTTCCCATTGGGACTGCTCTCCTCTGGCTGAGAAGTAACACAAGGGAGAGCTGTATAAGTTCTGAAGGAGACTGAGGGGAATGAAGATGGAGCTGGATGTGGATCCTGTGGTCAGAGTTCGCGCTGTGCTCGTGGCTCCTCTGATGAGAGGCAGGGCTGACAGCGTTTTGGGCGGTGCAGGGCCTACACTTGTCCTGAAGCTGCAGCCTCTTGTGCTGAGCATCAGCATATTACTGAAAAGTGAGAGGTGTCTTGGTTACTTTTTTTTTCCTGGTGCAACTTATGGCTGTAGGTATTGGTAAAGGTACCTAAACTTACAGCAATGTGACACAGCTGAAAAACAGTTTGTGGTCAGGCTCCATTTTCACACTAGGACAGACCTCCCTGCCCTCACCTCCTGAAAGACTCGATCTGATTACTGAGTTGTTTTGGAGAATCAGGGCATGGGGGTGAAGTCCATTTGATCTTTTGGGTGTCAAAAATCACCTGAGCACAGGAGACAGATAAGGATGGCACAAGCGAAGTGTGGTTTGCTATACTAGGTGTGTTTTGGTGATGAGTTTCTTATGTAGCTGAACTGATGCTGTTCTCTGGGCTGAAAAGCAGGTACACCTAATGAGAGCTACTGCACAGCAGGAGAGGAGCTGATGGGATTTCTTGTTGAAAGAGGAAATCAGCTTTGCACTGACTAATTGCCGACTTAGGGAGAAGCTGTTTGGAATGCTTTTCCCTGTGAACTTTGTGGATGAAGAGTAGGTTAGAACATCGCCTCCAGGCTTCCCCCATCCAGCTCATGGGTTTTCTCCTCTCCAAACTGAGGTGTGCTGTTTCCTTGCTATGCACCAGATGGGCTACTTGCTGTGCAACACTTCACACAGACTTCTAGGCTCGAGCCTTTGTCTTCCAGCTGCTGGGTGGTGTGAGGAGGAGATGAGACACAACAAAGTCCTCTGGCTGGCTCAGGCTGTAAAACCCAACCCTGTCCCTCCTGGAGCCCTGAGATCTGACCTGGCAGGAGAGCCTCCCAGCTGGAGGCCAGACCTCTGCAGAGCGAGCAGACAAGGTTTTGTGTGCAAACTGTCTCCGTTTGCTGGAGATTGCTGTTAGGAGGGCTCCATCAACAGAGCAGGCAATGACAGGCAGTCCCACAGCCCTGGCAAACTCATTTCCATTGTATCCTGCACCTGATCCTTCTCTGCCTGCTGGACGGCAATCGCTGCTGCCAATGAGAGTCTGTGCTTCCCTGGAGCAAGTGAGGAGGACAGAACAGGCATCAGTGCTGACTCCACCAGCCATGAATGCTGTCATTTCTCCTCCTCTGCGCTGTGCTTGCTAGCTTGTGGTCCCAGTTTGCTTTGAGTGGCTGAATGCATTCGGTGAGGACACATCTCTTTAGGGACGCGTGGGCACAAAGCTGCTGCCATAGGGCGCCCGTGTGGTGAACCAGCTCTGCGGGTGAGGTGGTTCCCTGCTCGCAAAGCGCTCTGTCTGGCTCCATCCTAGAGGTGCAGGAGGGGATGTGCTCCTCTTTGCGGGTGCTGCTTCCCCGTACTGGCGTGGTGTTTTTGGTTTTGTTCTCAGTGAAGTATTGGAATCCGAGTAATGTATTTCTGCGGTGTCTGAAGAATCTCCCGTCACGTTCAGGGCACGCAGTCCTCACCACCCGGCACCCGATGCCTGCGTGAGGCGGCCCTGCCCCGAACCCGTCGCTCTGATCTCTCTCTCTCTCTCGTATATAGCGTTCTGGAGTGTGGCAGTTCTTGTTCCTGAGGTGCTCGTCCGTTCGGTTTCCTGCTGTGAAGGGTGTTGTGTTTTCTTTCTCCTTTCCCGGTACATTTTTGATGCAGTGGTTGGGAGGTGGGGCCCGGCCCCAGCCGCCCTCTAAGGAACCATGAAGCGTGTCCCCTGCAGCGGCCCGGCCGGGCGGGGCTTTGTGTATCGTGTGGTGAATCGTGTCGAGTGACTCCTGCGTCGTGCTGCGCCGGTGGGCAGCGCCGTCCCGAGGGAGCGGGGCGGGGAGGGCGCGAGGGCCGAGGTCGGAGCCGCCGCGCTGCCCTTCCCGGGCCCGGCGGGGCGCCGCCCTCAGACGAGCACCGCCCGGAGGGACCGCGGGGCTCCGGCGGGACCCGCCGTGCCGTTGGCCCGTCCCGGCCCCGGGTCTGTCCGCTGTCCGGGGGTGGGGTGCAGCGAGGCCGCGGTTGGCGGGCGGGAGGCGGTATTTATTGCTAAGTTATTGCCCCGCGCGGCGACGGCGGGCGTTATTTATTGCTGTACATAGTGTTCGTCTGCCGGCGCGGCCGCCGTTGTTTTGTACATGACAATAAACAGCTTTCAAACACCACGGCCCGGTGCTTCCTTTGCGGCGTGGTTCGCCGCCGCGCGAGGGGGCGCTGCTGCGCACCGCGGGGCGGGAGGGGCCGGAAGCGGCGCTCGGCCGCGCTCTCCGAGAGGAAGCGGCTTCTCGCGTCCGGCGTCCGACAGCGGAAGTGGGGCGCTTCCGGCGCGATGGCGGCCGGCGGCAGCCTCAGCCGCTCCGAGCGGAAGGCGGCGGCGCGCGCCGAGATCCTTCAGCAGGAGGAGCAGCGAGACCGGCGGAGACAGGTACGGTACTGCGCGGTGCCCCTCGGTCCGCCCGCGCGGCCGGACTGCCGTGACGCGCTGCGTATGCCGGGCAGGTTTCTCGCATCTGGAGGAAGCCGCCGGCGGAACGGAGCCCCGAGGAATGTCAGGTGCTGAGCGAGAGCGAGGACATCGTCCGGGAGCTGGAGAGGCGCCGCAAGAGGCGCGAGCGGCTGCGCCGACGGCAGGAGGAGGTGGGCGCCGGGCGGGGGCGGGCCGGGCCCGATGGGTGCGGCTCCGGGGCCGCGTCTGAGCCGCCGCGCGCCGGTGCTGCGGGGGCCGCGGCCGTGGGGAGGGGCTTTGCGCTCCAGGTTGTCGCGGGCGCTGAGCTCCTGCTGCGGGGGGAGTTCTGCGGCAGAACTGACGGTACCGCCTTCCCAGGAGTGCCCCCGTCCCTCGGGACCGCGCCCTGCTGTGCCGGTCCTCGGCTGATCTCCCTGCACCGGCCTTGCTTCTTGCAGCTGCCAACCTCTTCCGAAATGCGTTTGGTTCTCTGAGTGGCCGTGCTCCCTGGGAGGGCTGTATCTGTGTGTGCTGCTATCCAGAAACCTTCCCTTGGTCCTTCATAGATAATACAGATGGCAAACACCCACGTTCTTCTAGTTAGGAGACCTTTTGATAATATTCCTTCTGATAATATTTGTCTGCTGCGTTCCTTGGCTGATGGACCCATATCAAAATGTCCAAGGAGCTCTCTGTTCTTTCAGGCTCAGCGACACGCTGAAACTTCCCATTTGCATTTCCTAGGTATGTGATGAGCCAGAGGAGCTAAAGAGAAAGGTCACTGAGCTGGCTGCTGCTATCCGGAACGCCAAGCACCTTGTCATCTACACAGGAGCAGGGATCAGTACGGTAGGATTCTTTGGGGGTGAGTGGCTGGAGCTTTGGGAGCTCCTTCAGGAGTGTTGGAATGTTTGAACTCTGTTTTTTGTGGATTCCAAGTGACCACAGGATATCATAGAATCATAGAATGGCCTGGGTTGAAAAGGACCGCAATGATCATCAAGTTTCAACCTCCTGCTACGTGCAGGGTTGCCAACCACCAGACCAGGCTGCCCAGAAGATATTTGGGATTCTGTATTAACACTGTTGAACTACAAACCATGACCAAGATGTTAATTAATTTGCATCTTGGGATGTTCCTGCTGGCCAAGAGATTCTGAGGCTGCATCACCTCTATGCAAAGAACGAGCTTTTAAAATAAGATCAGTAGTCTGTCTTCAGTTGAGTCTCTTCAGCTACTTTTGCTGCAAAACCTAAAAGAAGTTATAGCTGCTCAATGCTGTCTGCATTAATAAACGATTCAGAAATAACGAGTGCTTACTAGAAGTTAAAAATGATGGTTTAAAAAATGGTTTCTGTGGCCTCTCATGAGAATGGAAATCTGGAGCTGCCTCTTCGCAGGTCACATTTGTCACTTTTGTCTGAACTCTGAAATGGGAACCTCGTTGTTCTTCCCTTTTCTGCAATCTCAGCTGATAGGGACATAGACACTTTTTTTAAAGAACGCTGAGTGTTCTTTAAACGAGTTGAATGTAAATAATAAAAGGTTCAAGAACTGTGTTCTGTCTGGGGGAGCGGGAGGTTCCTAGGGGAGAAGAGTGTTCTGGAGGGATTTCATAGTGGTATTATTGGAGAAAATAAATACTGGAGGTGAAATTGAGAACTGTAAGGTAGGCAAAGAGCTCCCTATAATTAGGAAAACTTTGAGTGAATGAAAAAGCAGCAGTGAATGCTGTACCTCGCTGTCCTGGGTGAGGCCAGGTTGATGTGTTGGTGGACAAGAGGTAGGAACTTTCGGGTCAGGCCGTGCTTTGTCTCTCTCCATAACACAGGCAGCTTCGATCCCAGACTACCGAGGCCCCAATGGCATTTGGACATTGCTGCAGAAGGGCAGGAGCATCAGGTAAGGTGACCAGTGAACATTTCCTTTCTCTTTCCTGGAAGGACATTTTTGCAGGTACTCAGGAGATGAATTCTGAGCTGCCCAGCAGACAGCTGATACTGAAAGAGAGTGTTAATGGTAATTTCTTACTCCTTATTTTTCTCTGCCTCTTGTCAGTGCTACAGATCTGAGTGAGGCAGAGCCCACGCTCACCCATATGAGCATTGCTTGCCTACACAAGCATAATCTGGTAAGATTTCTTTTTCTGTACATGACTTGTGCTCCACTGTCACAGTATAATAAATCAGATAAAGAAGAAAAAAGATATTTTTCACAGTACTGCATAACTGTTGTTCTCAGTGAGGTGTCTGTGTTTCTGTATAGCTGAGCCTTCATCAGGCCATGTCCAGACTATGGTTCCAGCATCTTTTTCCCTCATGCCTTTTTTTAATAGCTTATGTTTGCCTCCTGCTAAGGCTGTGGTCTGGGGACGTGGCCACAAAGCCTGCCAGGCCTAACAGCTGTATTTAGCAGGAATCTCTCTGCTTAGTTTTCAGAGTTCTACTCTCTGCTTTTCTACTGCTAGCTCAGTATATTGAAGCAGAACTATTTATTGCACATTGAGATGTTACCTGCATTGGAACCACGCTTTCAGAGTCTTCTCTGTGTGTGTTATTTCAATGTTCTGCTCTCTTCCAGGTGCAGCACGTGGTATCTCAAAACTGTGATGGGCTGCACCTGCGAAGTGGGTTACCTAGATCAGCAATATCTGAGCTTCATGGAAACATGTACATAGAGGTGAGCAGCTAGGAAAGGACAAAGGCACTGTCAGTACTGGCCTCTTAAAAAAGACAGTGGTAATTGTTTCTCCCTCCCTGACTCAAAAATTAGTGCAAGGGCTACTCTCAGCTTAGTTTGTATCTTTAGTTTGCCAGTTTTTTGGTAAACTAGTTAGCAAACTCCACAATCGAGTTTTCTGTACAACCTGGCAGTTCTCTCTCTGTATTTGCTAGAGCCTTCTGCTTCTGAGTGCAGTTCTTCAGGCGTTGCCTGAAAACCCCTCCTATTGACCAGGCAGCCTGCCCCCTGTAATTCCACTCACTAGTTGAGCGTTTCTGAATGTTTCCAAGTTAGCATCTAAACACAGATGATTCCTTGTACTGCTTCCAGGTTTGTTGTCCCCAAAAGGTGCTTTTCTCTGAGGTGTGGCTGCATCCCTGGGCTCAGATGGACCAGATGCTGACAATACAACACTTTTCCTTCCTGTGCTACAGGTCTGCACTTCGTGTACCCCCAACAGAGAGTACGTGCGAGTCTTTGATGTGACAGAACGCACGGCCCTGCACAAGCATCACACTGGCAGGCTGTGCCACAAGTGCGGGGCACAGTTGAGAGATACAATCGTCCACTTTGGGGAGAAGGGGACACTGACACAGCCCCTGAACTGGGAAGCAGCAACAGAAGCTGCAAGCAAAGCAGATGTGATTCTTTGTCTGGGTTCCAGCTTAAAGGTAACTTTAGAGACTCGGTGAAGATTGTTAGCAGCATTCCCTCTTGGTGATACACCTTGGTGCTGAGCAGTCTCCTCCCAAACAGACAACTGTAAACTCTGGTGTCAGGATTCGCCCACCATCTGTGTGATAGTCTCTCTTCCTCCCTCTTTCCCTTCCTGGTAATACATTCCTTTTCCTCTCGCTGATATGGTTCACGGTTACGTGTGCCTTTGGCTGTGCTGATCATTTCTGTTTTGTGGCAGGTTTTGAAAAAATACCCCCGGCTTTGGTGCATGAGCAAACCTCCACCTCGTCGTCCAAAGCTGTACATCGTGAACCTCCAGGTGAGCGCCTTCCCGGTGCCGGGCAGGGAGGTTGGGTGAAGCCCCTCGCAGCGGGTGCTGCAGCACGTGTCCTGCTGTCACCTCGCAGTGGACGCCCAAGGACGACCTGGCTGCCCTAAAGCTGCACGGCCGCTGCGACGACGTCATGCGGCTGCTGATGGAGGAGCTGGGCCTGCAGATCCCAGGCTACGACCGGTGAGCTGGTGGGGACCGGGGGGGGACGGGACGGCCACCACGAGCCCCCCGCCCTCACCTCCTCCTCTCCGCAGGGCGCGGGACCCCATCTTCGCGCTGGCCGAGCCGCTGCGCCCCGACGAGCAGGGCACGCACTCCCGGAAGCCGGTGGCCCCGCCGCAGGGCGTCGAGCCGGCCGCGGCACCGCGGGACGAACACCCCGCCCGGCCCGGCGGCTGGTTGGGCCGCGGCTGCGCCAAGGGCACCCGGCGCAGGAAGAGCAACTGACGGCGGGGGCGGGGCGGGGCGAAACGGAGCGCGGGGCGTCGGCTCGCCCCGACCGCCGGTGCTGACGCGCCCCAAGATGGCGGCGGGGGCGGGCGAGGGGCGGGGCGAGCGGGAGGTCCCGCTCGGCGGCGGCGCCGCCGGTGACAGCGCGGCCATGCTGCGCAACGGGGCGGCGGGGGGCGGCGCGGCGGCACAGCGGCCCGTGCGCGTCTGGTGCGACGGCTGGTGAGTGCGGGCGGGAATAAAGCGTCTCGGCTGCGCTGCGCCTCCGCTCTTCTGTCACCGCCGCCGGGGGTGCAGGGGGGGGGGGGGGGGAAGAGCGGGAGGGGCAGCGCGCCGGGGGCCGCGGGCGCTTTGCCGGCCGTCCCTGCGACAGCCACGGCCCCGAGCCCCGCGCCGTCGGTGGGTGCCGCGCGGGCGGGTGGCGGCGAGACGCCGCCCCTGGGAGCCGACGGCGATGGCGTGAATCGCGGCGCCGCGATGGGCGGCGGGGAGACTCCGAACCCCCGAGCGCCGCCGGAGGAAGGTCGCCGTGCGCAGCCCCTGAGCTCGGCGCGTCCCCGGCGCTGAGAGCCTTTGTCTTTGCAGCTATGACATGGTGCACTACGGCCACTCCAACCAGCTGCGCCAGGCGCGGGCCATGGGCGATTATCTGATCGTGGGAGTGCACACGGACGGTAAGAGGTCGCTCGGCTTTGCGCCTCTCGGTGTTACCGGACGGCCGTTACTCCCGTTACACCGGCGGCGCTCATCCCGCGTCTCCCCGGGAGCGGCGGTGCCGGCACACCGTCGGGCGGTGCCGTGCTGTGCTTTGCTGAGCTGCGGTCGCTGCTCTTGGAGGTGCGATCTGTTCTGCCGAAGCCACTGGACCGGCTGAGGGTCAGCCCGGGGCCGCGAGCACAGACTGAGAAACTCGAACCTAGATGAGAGTTAAGTGCTAGGAATTAATTCCTGCTTGTGAGCGTGGATCTGAAATCAGTTTATGGATACAGCTTGCAGTGTAGGGTGAAGCCGTTGTTCAGGCATCCTGCTGGGAGCTGCATTGCCAAGCAATGCCCTTGGGAAGCAGTATTTGGGTGTGAGGAGTCACTAACACCTTGTGCCTATAGAGGGAACCCCAACGCCTTTACCACACGCTTACAAATGCGATGGAATAAAAACCATTCCTGAACTCACTGGGCCTTTCGTGCATGCTATAAACGCCCCTCAAGCTCTCTTGCTGCAGACCGTACTTCTAACTGGGTTTTCTCTCTCTCTCACCCAGAGGAGATCGCCAAACATAAGGGCCCCCCCGTCTTCACGCAGGAGGAGAGGTACAAGATGGTGCAAGCCATCAAGTGGGTGGATGAGATTGCGCCTGGGGCTCCTTATGTCACCACACTGGAAACCTTGGACAAATATAACTGCGATTTCTGTGTGCATGGTGGTGAGTGATGCTCTTGAGGTGGATTGGTACGAAGAAGGGCCCCGTAGGGCTCGTGTGCTCTTGGTTTTCCGGCTGCAAAGCAAGGAGCTGCCTGACTGACGTGAAAGTTAACTCGTGTGTACAGACTGTGGCAGTGCCTGTGCTGGTCTGTACAAGTTCTCCCATTCAGGGATTTGTTAGAAAAGGGTTCGTGGGTGTTGGGACAGCAGTGTGATTCCTTGGCTGTAAGCACCCGTTTCACTTCCAAAGATGAAACGCACTGACAGTTGTCCTGAGATTACCCTTAAAACATGCAAGAGCTGTACATGAAAGGAATACGTGTTTACACCAGCTAAATGTGAAAAACACTGTTATGAGGTTAGGTGTGCAAAGCCAGAGTCATTTATGTCTGCTTATCCTGAAATGAGATCAGATCTGAAAAGCTTCGGTCTCTTGATCTAGCTGATAAGCTCCTAAAGCGCTTAGCTGGCCCTGTACTCAGACCTCGTTCTGCTTAGGAACATTTCTCAGCATACAGTCACTGAAGAGAGGCAGTGTTCTGGGGAAACATTCCTGCTTTTGTACTCTGTCCCTTCCTTGGACTATTCACGCTTGTTCAGTTTCGGCCCCTCCTCCCTTCCCTTCCAAAGGTATTTTGTTAATTTAATCGGGCACAATCTTTGCACTCTTTCTCTTATCCTTCCTCATTTGATCCCAGCAACCTATTGATAAGGCAAGCATTTCATTAAATGCAAATAAATTGTTAATCTTCAATAAGATAGATACGTGGTTGTTTTTTTTTCTCACGTGGACAAGATGACTATTGCATTCCTTGTTAGCTTAATTGCCTGTCCTGAATGCACGTTTTGTGTTCGTGACCCTTTGCTAGGGCTGGTGAGGGATTAGCAGAACAGAGGCGTGCTGGTGGCCTTTCCTCCAGATTTGCTGCTTTGATCCCTTCTGCCAATCTTCCTGTCCTTCCACCTGGATAGCATTCATGGATGCTGCGTTTTGGCCGGGCTGTGGTTCTGCAGAAGATAAGTTTTGAAATAGATGGGCTTAGCATGGGAAAGCGGCAGACAGCAAACCTGCTGCTGCTGCTTCTCTCCTGGCACAGGGCTCATTTCTGTCCCTGTGCCCTCAGGGGAGGGAGAGGGGTTTTAGGAGAGCTTTCTTGAGTGTGCCACTGCAGTTGTGCAAGGAAGACAGGAGTTACCTGTGCTGTAAACAAGGGATTAGGCTGAATGAAGCCAGCGTAGGTTTTCACTTGTTAAGTGTTTAAACTGTCATTAAAAGGAGGAGAGAAGAGCTTTCTGTAGAATGAGTTGGGACCCATGCCAAAGCTGAACCAGAGCTGATTCTGGAGGAGTTGAAGGGATATATTAAATGTCTTTGTAGAAGTGCCATCACTGAGGGACTGAGCAATGATGCACTGTTTAACTGACTGGGGAAGAGTTGTAATGTGAACTAACAGCTCAACACAGTGCTGGAGAAGTTAGTTCAGGTGCTTTTAGCACAGGCTGATGGTGGCTGTTTGTTGTTACTCAGAGAACAATTCAGTCACGCCTGCGGTTGGATTTGCTCGCAGGGCAATGAGCTCTTGTTTCCTGGGGTATCTAATGAACAGCAGGCCAGATTGCTAGTAGACTTTAGCACTGGGAGCACGCTTGTCCCTACAGACAGATTTATTTTCAAGCCCACGACGTTTCTGTGGAGGTGTGGGACATACCCCATGTGCTATGATGCAGGCTGTAGGGGTTCTAGTCTGCCTTACGTGCCAGATGTATTCCTCTGCAGCCGTAATTCTAACGTAGCTGCTGTGCAGGGAGGTTTGGAGCGCAGCTCTGAGGCTTTCCTCTTTCTGCAGATGACATCACCTTAACGATAGATGGCAAGGACACCTATGAGGAAGTGAAGACAGCCGGGCGATACAGGTACTGCTGTGTAGCTTCCTACCCTGTGCTGGGCAGAGTTTCTGGGAGTTCCCATCCTGGATGGAGCTCAGATGAAGACAGCTGTCTTCAGGTCGCACTTCAGCTTTGCTGTGAGATGTGTCAGAGCTTTAGCTGCTTCAGCCATTTTGGCTTCTAGAAGGTGATGCAGTCCAGCAGCTGTTCTTGGTCAGCTCTGCTGGGAAGTCTGGGCCAGGTAGGTTTTCCTCATGTCACCCATTGCTGCGGAGGCCCAGCAGGCGAGTGGTTCCTTTATATCAAGAGCAGGTAGCAGGAAGATGTCGCTCAGGATGATTGCTGGTTTGGATAGATCAGATTTCACAGGTGTAACAGTGGGGAGAGGAAGAGGCACGTGCTTCTGTGGCATCAGCTTTATCCTTTGCTTATCTCCCTGCAGGGAATGCAAACGCACTCAAGGTGTGTCCACTACCGACCTCGTTGGCCGCATGCTGCTCATGACTAAGGCTCACCACAGCAACATAGTGAGTCACAGGGCTTTGGGTGGGAGTTTGGAGTCCAGGGCGTATGTCGGCTCTTGCCTTCCACTGCTCCAAAATGGCAGTGGAGCTCCTGGGCCTGGCTCCCATATCCATGGAGGACTGGCAAGCTGGCTGTGGGCAAAACACTCTTTGTATTTACTTAAGCCTTTACTTAAACCTGCCTGAAATCACAGCGTACAGCCCGTGGTGCTTTGGTAACGCGTGTGGAAATAAAACTTTGATTCTCCCTTGATTGGCGTGAGCTTCAGGAATGAAAATGCTGGCTAGCCTATGGCTTCTGTGATTGTGGAGTTAGAGAGTGCAGCCACGTTGATCTAACAGCTCAGTGCTGCCAGAATTGGAAGTTCTTCCTTCTCACCGAGCTGCACGCTTCTGCCTTTTGCTGTCTCTGAATCTTATCAGACCTTTCTTGAGTCTCCTCAGCTCACTACCTGGTAGATTGCTAACGTCACCAAAGCAAAAGCAAGGAAGCAGTGTTCTGTAGGTTAATGAATTGAATAGACTCAGTAAATGAGCAATGCACTGAATGGATTAACTGAGAAACAGCAGGGAGGAGACAACGTGGAAACAAGAATTCAGAGGTAGAGGGAGGTCTTTCTTTTAGTGTGCTGAGCTGTTAGATTGGCTTAGCTGTAATAATGCAACTTCACACCACGATGTGACACAGCATCGCTATCTGTCTGCAGACATCGGAGCCCATCCCTGGTGGAGTGTCTTTGCAAAAAGAAGGGACACAGTCCTGCTAGGGGCTTGCATAGTCAAGAGAAGACAGAGGTGTGCAATGTTATCCAGCTGTGCAGGTTGAGCAAGAGCCGCTGTCGCTGTGTGATGCCAGGCTGAGGTCAGATAAGGAGGTTTCATCTGACTCCTGCTGGGACACGACCCTGGTTTAGATATTAACTCCTTTGTTAGTATTTAGTGGCGGAGATCAACGATACGCAGCCTAAGCGTGGACTTCCCAGCACTTCTGCCACACACAAGCATATTTTTGATTGGATGAGCTGTGTGAGTGCTTCAACATTTTGATTCTTTATCTCCCTTCAGGATGAGGACCTAGACTATCGGAAGCACACTGACAACTTTGGGAAGGTAATGTGAGTTCTGGTCGGAGACATCTGGTTGTTGGCCTGTCTGAGAAGGATT